TTTGTAAAGATATTATTATGTAAGAAAAATGTTTATAATAAAAAAACACCCCGCCATTACTTTTCGGGGGGACTGTAATTATACATTGACTATTTACATATACATGATTACATCTGAATATAATTACGTTTATAATAATAAGTCGAGAATTCTTCTTTCAGTCTCTCCGACCACAATTGAGCCGATCTTTTATGTAGCGAGTTGTATGCGCGTTTTCTTGTTTTTGACTCCGTGTGGGACTCGTTCGTGAGCTTGTCGTGTCGTGGAAGAACGGCAAGGCTTGTTGTATCGTTGAGCGTGCCTTGTAAAATCGAGAAAATTAAGATATGTGATAATAATGGTACATTTCGTGTAACAACAGTTGTTTCCGAAAAGAAAAACAATTGATGCAGCACACTCGCAGAATAAAAAAATTTTAATGCCTCCGTTACTTTAACTAACTATTGAAAAGCGTCTAATAAATAGCAATAGCGCATGCTTTTTGCTTGATGATAATCCCAACCATATAATGAAATATTACATACATTTTGACATAGTGATAGGCCATTTCATCAGCCATACTTTTAGTTCAAAACATAGGACAGGATTAAAAATTGTATAGTGAACGTAAATGTATTTATAAAAGCATAAAAACTTTAATTTATATTTATTACAGATTTTTAAACGCTTACTACTGATGCAATTAACTGTATACGAAAATAATCATTAATGTTATAAAGTGCAAGAACAGTACGCGGTACAATTTCGTACATGATTGTTACTTTATAACGTTAAGGTAGCATCATGTGCACATGTGCTATTACTTTGCACGGTCTCACTCTCTTTGCCCGCGGTGCGTTTAAGGGAAAGTTGACTGTATAAGGATAATAAAAAAATTGGGTTATCCACACATAAACCAATAAAAATTGTATTAGCTAGTTTTTGGTTATTTATATTGGAGTTAAAATTGTTGTATCTGAGTTTGGGACCAATAATCCAAATAGTAAGGATAAGCAGCTTACATGTTTGCTCTCAGACTGATTATAGTGATACTGGACAATTATCTCAACAACTGCCCAACATATTTAAAACAAAGACCATAATTACAAGCCTGGGGTGCCAATGGACAACTGGGGGGAAAAGTTGGCATGAACTGACCTGGTAATTGTCGCACATTTGTCGACGGTACTCTAAAACAATTGAAAATACCATGGTTAGAAAGAATGGAGATTTCTAATTCGTCATAGAAATTAGGAATGGCATTGGAAATTTCTCTGAGCATGCCATATGACAAACCCTCACGACTTGCAAAATTTCATCGCAATCCGATGTCTGCAGCAAATCCGACATTTTATTTTAAGAATACTACAAATTATAACATTTTGAATTTAACCTTTAAAAATACCAATTTTACAAATTATAACATTTTGAATTTAATCTTTAAAAATACCAATTTTTTCCCAAACAATCTTTAGAAACTGCATGGAATGTACGTGTTACCATAATAATAATTGAAACAATTTATGGCAATGGTCATATAATATCAACTTGTTCCAAATAAAAGGAAATAAAAGACTGTGGAGAAATGAATTTTTGTTATGCTTAAATTGTTTTTTTCCAATTGTTCTATGTAAAATGGACGTTACTCAACAACTAAGATGTCAACTCGCACCAACTTTTTTTCACTAATTCTTCGGAACCTCAGGCTCCGAATATTTTTACGGCTGCCGAAACGTAAAACACTTCTACATCAACACTTGCGCTATAAGAATCTGATACTATTACCATTGTGCCTAAATGCATTATCGTAGAATTGGCCTTTGTCGCGAAAAAGGGCACTGTGCTTACAAATTCCATGTTACCAATGTATCACAGTGGTAGCTGTCGGGGATTCTTGATGAGTCGTTGGCCGATGTGTTCACACTTAATCAACAGCATTACTAGCTCGGAAACAAATACAAACTTTTTCAAGACTATAAAGCGACAAGGAATATAGGACATGCTCCGGTCACAACGAGAGTAAGGCATGAGTTTAGTAAACGAAGACTCTTAATTTATGGTATTATATAAATTCCTTAGGAGGCATGTATGTTGATATTTCATCTGACGGCAAACAATTAATAAATTTATCGACTAACATGTACGGTCTTATGTTCCGCATTTATAAAACGATGCTATAATGAGTCATTGGGCGTTGTTATTAAATTAATAGAATCGGAATGCGGTTAATATTCTGTGTATACACTAGTACGAATAAATGATTTTTTTTCAAGGAAATAACTCGCTTACGTAGTTCATCATCGTACTAGGCGTATTGTTAACTTGGGGATGTGCTGTCTAAAGAGAGCACACTTAATGCTGCCGAAGATCACTATTTCTTTAGATAAATAGGGACGGAGCGACGCATTTATACATAGTGCTATAGTGAAGAGTTCAAGTAAATATCGTTCGAGAGTTAAGCTTTCCAGATTATCTAAAAAACTATGCGCTTCGAGAATATTTGTTTAATACACGTAAGGCTAGAATACTCAATCTACAGCTTCATGAAGAGAAACTATTATCTATCTAAACGCGTTTATAGACAGTTAATCAACGAATCGCATTTGCCAACCACGGACAGGTCACTGATAGAGGTATTAACGTTTTCACGCTATACCAGTACGACTACTAAGATCGTTTATTTCATGTATGAACATTCGAACGTAAGAAACCAAGTGCTCCTACGGACAAGACAGCAACGTCATTCGGTCTTTGCTATCCACAATATACCAATTATTCACATTGCTCAAAATGCTTTGATTTGATCAGTTTTCCCAATTCTCGGATTGCCAGTGATAAGCAACTCTTATACACTATTATCCAAAACAAGAGCGGGCGAGCCAACAAATAGCCAATTCAATAGTATACTACAATTCAATACACAATGTCATGAACTCACGAGCCACCTCAGCCCTTGTGATGCTGACGATCACGTCATCAAAAAACGATCGATGCACAAATCTTGTTTTTCCGTCCGGGCTCCATCATAATCATCCAGAGGTTTTTACCTTGTTTATTGCTCAACTGCTTTAGTTTTCGCTCGCTTGATACTTAATACTACGTTATGTGGATGTATATGCTGGTATTAGTTCCTGTGGTTGCCTTATTGATAATGCTCGGGAAACTTGTCAGGAAAGTAACAACAGGTGAGAGTAATTATACAACCAAGCGATGTGCTAATGCCGATAAAACACTGAGTAGTAAGTGTTATTAGATAGTTAGGGCTCACTTTTCCCTTTGCAACCTTTTCCCATACTTTCCGTTTTATCGTTCTAGTCAGAGACACATATGTAGCATGGGGAAATCTAGCTAGACTGGGAAGGCTGCGCCCATGGGCATTTACTTTATTGATTAACTATGTGAATCCATACAGTAAATCCGTACGTAAGTATAATTGTATAACGTAGATTAGCCTTTTCCTTGAATATCTGAAATGTTATCATTTTTTTCTGATCTTCATTGTCCCATTCTTCCCTTGACTGCAGATTTTCGTGTAACTACATTAGAAAGAGGGCTCTGTACTGCAGTGATGAAAGTAATGTTCCCGATCCAACTTTAATACTTTACAACGGACATGAAAGAAAATACCTTCTCCCCGTCTATTATTATTTACTCTACGCTTAATCATCTGGCTAAACGTATCCCAGGAGCAAACGCGCACACATAATCCATTCAACAGTATTCACGCGGGGGCACTATTCACATTTGGCGAGACAGTAAGTGCAATGGCTGTGTTTAGTCGGCTCGGAACAAAAAGTCGGGCGATACCGACGGGTGCAAATATTGAGGTGAGTGAGTATTTGAAAGATAGCGAACAGAGTAGCCTATGAAAAAATATTCTAGTGGTATGCATGGATGCAGGTTTCAATATAATGGTGATGTTTAAGCGTGGTGATAGTTGGAGATTACTAATGGGAAGCTAAAATTTCATATAGTACTTTAAGAAGGCACGAGGTATCTATACATCTTTTAACAATCAGTGATTATTCATTGTTTTATTTATTTTTACTTTGTCTTAACTTGTGTATATAAAAATCTACTTTAACATTTGCTATCAAATGTCACTACATCCCCATTTTATGATATGCAAGGGCTTATCACTGCAACAGCCGAGTTTAGTCCTGGTGAGCTTGCAGGAAGACAGGAGAAAACTTCAGAGTTAACCATCGTAGATTCATATTTGGATACAGTCGCAAAGATGAGTATTCAATGGGTTATTGACACAAAGTGAAGCATGTAATTTTTGAGAGACAGAGAGAGGGGGGGAAATGATATGACAGTCAGACAAAAATGAGACTCGACATGTATTACATTGGTGCAAAAAAAAAAAAGAAGAAAAAAAAAAGAGAAAAGACACAAGGAATAGATAAGGCATATCTTGGACCGGGGCATGTCGGAACGGATCTGGACGACTTTGGTCGAGTCAGTTGACTATGTGTACCAATAAACTCCAAAGTTGTAATAACAATAAAATAAACAACCTTGTATAGATTATACAGCATGTATTGTATTTATTGTATTGTATTTTTATTGTATTTTTATTGTATTTTTATTGTATTGAATCTTTTTCTTTTTCTGATTATCTCAATTACCCTTAATACTCCCAATTATGACTTCATACAATTCACTCTCATGCTAAAAATAGCCAATTGGATTCCATGGGAAAGCTGGTTCTTTTTTTTCTCACGCTCATCTCAATCGGGACCGTCTTTCACGTCAAACCCATAACTAACGAGGAGAAATAGATCATGAGCAAATTGATGCATGAGATAAAGAACATTCCTTATTGGTATGTAGTTAGGTGTCTATGCCGATACAACAATTGCATCACAAACAATAGCTGTGACACATATATTGTACCCAGAATCTTAAACATTTTGTGATCCAGTCACTATTATTTATACTCTAGTATTGTTAATATTAGCTCTTCATCAGCATGATCTTATCAACATTATTTATGTATTCTCTTTCCTTGTCGGGAAGAACCTTTTCATTCGGTGAGGCTAAACAATTTACACGCTAACACCGATGGCAGCACATAATGATATGGCCCCTGACTTGTATGCATACCGTTTTCGTCACCACACACACAGACCTCCCATTTTTGCACAGTATGTTTCAGGGGGAAAAGACAATATACAATCTATTTGACAGTAAAGAAAAAAATGGAACTACATGGTGAAAGTAAAATGTCGAAAAGAAAGGAAAAAAAAAAGAAGAAAATATTTAGGACTGGTAGATGGTAAAAAAAAGGGAGTTTATAAAAAATAAAAGATAATATGGTCACAGGCTATACAAGAAGTACGCGAACTCTTTATACACGTAAAGATGTAAGAACTCTAAATAACCGATTTTAAACAGTAAGAAAGAAATTATCAAACATTATAATGTTCGATGCATACGTTGCTATTCATAATTAATCATTTATAATTAATATTGCTATTCCTCTCTCTCCCGCATTATATTTTTCTACTTAATAGAATTTGCTCATTTTTGCGGGATCAGAATACAAGTAGAGATATCCGAGAATAGCCGCACATATCGGAATACCAATGGCTATAAACGGAAAGATAATAGAGACTAGTGTCAGCGCCGCAGCTCAGCTTTCTCCTCTTTGTTCACTATCCCTAATCACCACTTCACCACTCAACCAACCACCCACACCCAATCGACGCAATCACCAACAAACTACCAAACATACCTGCGGCAATACTCCACGTACGGCTCTTCTTTCCAACTACTTGACTCTGCGTCGGCGTACAATTTTCATCCTCGTTCATGCTCGCTCCATAATTCTCGATCTTCTCCTTATTCGTCCACATGCTATCGTCGGGTCTGCCAACAAAATCCTCGGGCCGTCTTCTTTCGTACTTGAACGTCTCTTCAAAGAATGCTTTGGCACTTAGACTAGGCGGGAAATCAGGCTCGGGCATTGGTGCTGTTGACGCTGTATCGCTGCGCTGGAAATACGGAGGTGGAGACTGATCTGACGACGGAGCGAGAGAAGAGTTGTGGCGAGCATAGTTGTGTAGTGAGAGATAAGCGGGTGGGGATTGTTGGGATGACGGCGTATAAGAATATGGAGGTGGATTTGATCTATGACTTCCAATGCCATTCACATAATCTCTAATCTGTCCTTCTTCGGCTTCGTTTGTAGCCAGGATGCTCCAGCTCTTTTCTTCTTTTAGTTGGGGAACATGACCCCGATTGTTTCTTCGTGAGTATGAATCGGCATTATCTTCATACTCGACAACGCTCCATGAGCGTTCGCTTACCAACGGAGGAACGAATTGACGTTGATGCTGGTGTGGAGGAGGATAGTCTGTGATTGCGTTTGGAGGATGTGATAAAGTCATTGGAGAATAGGAAGAGGGATTTAACCTGTCGATATTGGATGGAATAGGGGATGGCGATAGAGAACGCGGGACGAGAATGAAGGAAAGCTCACCTTGAGACATTGATATTGATTATATTATGCAGGATGCTATATTTTCGGGAATATGATGATTGAATTGAATTCGTATTTGTGTTTTGAAAGGCTTGATAAGATCGCAGTGGGGGTAGGGGTCTTTATAATGGTAGCGAGAATTCTGCGTGGGTCGTGAGTTTATATTATATCAATTTATTTTGGTGTGTATATTTACGAATTCACCTAGTACTTTTTGGTCAGTATATTTAGGAGGGTGTTAGTAAGTTTTTTGTTTCGAGTTGGAAAAAATGGGAGTAGCTGCAGATATGTTCCTTTATAAGATAATTCACGTGATTATTTTAGTCGCATGATCATTAATTTGATTAATTTAAATTTGTTGACGAATGGCGCAGTTTGAATAAAGGTGATAAACAAATGCTATGTAATATAAATATATTAATATAGTAAATAAATTGGCTTATTGTATATGAACAGGTCTCTGCTATAAAGATGTACAAGAGGAAGAGGAAAAGAAAAAGGTTGGATGGTCTAGTGAAAAGGGAGATGCTGATTATAGACAAGTACGAATATGGCAAAACGGACAATAAAACAGAGTTTGCGCAGTCAACTTGGTGATAAATGAGAATACATGCAATGACCAATGACAAGGCATGAAACAAACACAATACTATGGCATGTATATGTTTGTGTTGTATGTGTTGTTGTTATCCATTTATATGTTTATACTAATACAAAGCAGTTAAAGTATAATACTATACTATACTGTAATAATAATACTGTAATAATAACAATTTCTACATATATTTCACAATCATCACATTGCTGTAACTGTCATGGGTGTTGTGGTTAATACCGCAGCAAGCAAATCAAGAAATCCCGTTTACTTCTGCACAGTAACAACCTTTGTGACACCTGGCATAATCTATATTTGGCTTGCTCGAACAATGAAAGTTAATCGCTGCGAATGGCGCAGAAAATGTTTGTGCAGTGTGGATAAATAGGATAAATATCTGGATTTCTAAAACGGGAAATTAGAGAACTGCTTTGATATTAGTCGAGAATTTTTGTGTACACAACAATATCATCGATAGGTTAGTAAAATTCGTACGTTTTGCCTACTCTTCAGCTTCCAATCAAGCAAAGACACGACAGTCATAAACTGAAAAGCTAATACGCAGTAGTACAACAACAACTCGGTTCAACAGCCATCACCGAATATATCGTAATTATTAATTAATCTATCAAACCGTCTTATGCCTTTATTGCCTAGCAGTACAATGACTTACCATCGTCAAACGTTGCGAAAATATTTGCAACTGTTATCATCGCTGTTTACGATACACAATATTAAATATTACATTACACTATTACACTGTCTCTCATATAACACCACCGTTTTGCCCTTTTCAGCCCACAAGTTATCATCCATACGACATCTTTTCGCTTTGTACCAACGCATATACCTCCGCTCTTCACACCGACTCTTCTCGATTAACGCTCCTGGCGATATTTTCTCACCGTCTCGTTTCAATCCATGATACCGACACGGATAGCCAAAATCTGCCAATCCACATGGTCGATTGCTTTAACTGTGACCGTACATCGGGGAATTTTTAAGGTTGCTGCAAATGAAATAATAATAACACAAACAAACGAATAATTTATTCTAAATTTGGTCTCATACAGGGTTCAAGCGTACGTTATTACTAGAAGTGTAGTTAGTGCATAGTCTTGGAAAAGGGAGAAACGTCGAATGACGTCATAATTAATACGACGTTAGTAGAAACAATCAGTGTTAGCACAGTGAACAAACGTTAATACCAAAGCTAATCAAGACAAGGAACAAACTCTATCAATAAATATCGAAATATACATAATCAAGAGTGCAAAAAATATCGGCTGTTGAATACTTCATCCATTCTTCATGAGGCAGCGTTGTGTAGCAGGAGTGGCAAACGTAATATTTTGAAACCAGCCTTTCTAGTTAATTAGAGTAATAATCGACGTTCTCAACGCTTAATCTGTACATCTAGCTCTGATTATGATACCGAATACTCATGTATTAATGAAGTCAATAATCTGAATCTGGAGGAAGGATTAGTTATGATTATGCACATACGGATTATAAAGTCGACGGGAACCACAATATAATGTACAGGGAAGAAGAAGAAAAGAGATAGATAAAGATAATTTAGTAAGTAGCTTTGGGGCTGCCGGCACTCACCGCATACAAAGGGTTATTTGTTCATAATATACAGTCATTGGACAAAGGTATTGACGAAACGTATCTGATGTGTAAAATCTTTATTTTAAAACCCTCTACAATCCGTATCTGCTATGTCACTGTAATAAAGGAGTACCGTATTGCATTGGTCTAGTACCCGGGATACTTTACCGGGAAAAAAGAAAACTTGTGTACTTTTAGCATTCTCTTCACAATAAGCCTATGCGCGACAATAAAAATATTCTTTATGCGAATAAACCAAGAAGGTACGTCGTCAATGGAATGCATGGGACATGTCGTAAAAAAACTTTTCAAATGTTACGGGTATCAGATAAGAGAGACGGAAGCGAAGATAATTTAATTATTGATTATGATCAAGTTGTGCACAGTACCAATAACGACAGAAGTGATGTGATAATTATAGAGGAAGAAGCAGACGTAGTTGATAACTCAAATGTTGATGATGTTGGAGATATGGTTGAAAATAATTATACCTATGTCCATGCGACAGACAATTGGGATGATTATATAGAAATCAGTCTTAACTGTCCGCATAGTAACATGTTTTACTAAGTGATTGTCAAGCTGATTCGATACTTCTATCCGTGATAGATTTCAACAAATTACTGTGTAGTACGCGACGATGGACCAAAACATTAAACATCGACGTGGCGAAAACCGGGGATAGGATTTTACGTTGAAAGGCTTCGATGCCATGAATGATTGTAAACTTTATGATACTAAACACAGTCAAACCTCGTACCGATAAATCATAATAAACCCCGTTATAACCTTTAACTGATACATGCAATGGCCTTTACTATTCAATCTTACCGAACATTGAAAACCTCAAGTGAGCCTTTAACTTATGCACAGAAGAAAAAGATCCGTACTTTACTTTCTCAAAAACTTGCTCCGACTCAAACTGCTGTTGCGTATCAATATAGAATTAAGCAAAACACCGCGTTAGAACGAGACAAGTGGTTGGCCACTGATGATGTTGAATTTTTATCAAAAAGAAAGAGAAATCCCCTGAGATTGAGTTTAGCATATTTGTTAAACTTTGAAGCTTGAGAAGTAATTTGTTGGCTCACTCTATTTCAAAAGAAAGCAAACGTCCATTGATAGTTTTATTTGTAATTGTTAGTTTATCTGCAATAAAGCTTGAAATTTCATTTAACACCCCGATAAATCGATATTATCGGTAAAAAGAAAATAATGAGGTTTGACCGTATAATGGGTGCTGCGGCTGTCACGCATCCTGAACATTTTATTCGACGACATTGACGTTTTATAAACTGTTTGTCTGTACACTCATGTTAATGCTGTCAGTACGAATAACGAACGCTATATGAAGAGCAAAAGACAACAACGATAAAAGCGTTTGAGTGTAGTACTTCTACAGATCAATCATGGTTCGCAAATTATAACAATACTATGATTTGGATCCAGCGAGCGCGTTTGCTTCTTGATGTTACCACATTAAGTTTCAACTGCTCCATATAGTCAACATCCAATTTAAGTGACGTCCCATATCGATATGCGATGTGTCTTATCAGTAAGATCGTTAGTAATCAACTGCAACGCGAGATATAGACAAATAAATAGCACCAACATCAACAAGATATGAACTTAAGCCAATGCGGCTAACAAGCAGCACATGTTGGACTCCTTTTGCGTGCGCGTACATGAGTCCCAACCCCAGAAAGTGTTATTTCTATAAAGTAAACAATTAATAGCGCCAAAATATTAATCATATATGCCAATAAGCCTATCATCCTCAATTATGATCTCTTCACCTGCTGGAGGTTCGCTTTCTTTATTTTCTTCGGCTGTTAGTGGAGTGAGTGATGGGCCATAGTCAGTTGGACTTGCTCCTGCAAAGTTGACATATTGTACAACTAATTTTTATACTATCTTGTTCACACATCAATTTTTGGGAGGAAATCATTAACTGATACTTTAAGGTCTTCAGTAAAATAAAGTCATCCTTTTGCGTTACAAAGAGAATCTACATCTTCTTTTACCTAATGTGCATTTCTGTTAATCACACGAATCAATTAAACCACAGCATTTGTTAAGAAGAACAAAATCGGGATTGAAGAGCACTTATTTTGTTTGATACGCAATTGTGTATCTCAGTAAGTGTATCGGCTCCAGTACTGTCCTGAACAAGCGCGTCGACTAGTCGTAGCGTGCATAGCCGCTACGAGAAACCAGCGCGCAAAATTGTCAATCTCGTCCAATTTTATCACCAATTTACAAGTACAATGTTGAATTCAATTCTCCAACCACAATTTAAAGACAAAATGTGGGGTTTCAAATATCATGTCGGCGGTTGGATAATAGGGAAATTTATTTTGACAATTTGACGCATCCTTCGAGCTTATATTAAGGGTTTCAACCCATTTATGGAAATCAAATGCTCGCAAGTTATCTGATTGCCTTCCTTATATCGATAATAATAGAATAATTGTGGGCTTACTTTAGCTATAAAGGGAAAAGGCTAATAAATACTTGCAGCTAGCGTAACCAAAACCGGGATAACTAAATCCCGAAATAAAGGAATTAATATTTATCCAAATAGAAATCTCTCAGAAATTGTAGCAGATTATCACCTACGCTGGATAGTGCAACAAGAAAGGGGATTTCTTTAGTGTGTGACATTGCTCGGTGTATCAAAGCGAGCATGTCTTAATCATCAAACCCTAGCCATGGTGTTGATATAATAATCCATTACAACCCAAAACTTGTCACAGTTATAATCATTTTTAATAGTATACGTGCCACGCGCCTTTCGTCTTCTAATCATTGTGTATTGAATTTACAACAAGTAGGGAATCCTATATTAAATCCTATGAACGTTAATTATTAAAAATGAGTTCAATTCTGTATAATTGCTCATGCAAACAAAAGAATTGTCATTTTCCCATAAATACAATGATAAAAATAAGTTAAACATTACAGCTTGATATATTGTACACCTATTGACCCTAGCAAAAAAAATGTCGCTTTTCCCAATGAAGGGATAAATGAAAAACAAAACCCCTTTCTTTTGATCCATCAGATATTAAATCGTATTTCAGAATAGTCTTTCCATTCTCACACATTTATATTCTATTGTTTATCGATCCAATAGACAAAAGAAGTCGTTGCTTCCGCTGCTACGCATCTTTGGGCTTTCGAAGTAATATAAAGAACATTGGCGTAAATATTCCCGTTTCACCTCCTTCGACTAGAGCATCAGCAGCATTCATGAGAACTGACGATACATCGGTAGAACCAGACGCGGCAATGCCCAATAATTCGAGCACTGCGACTAACTTGTGTGTAGTCCTTTGTGAGCAAAAGCGGAAGATTATATGGACATTAATAGGCGGGTTTCGAAAACGGAAATTAATCGCATATTCAAAGAAAAGATGACTTACCATCTGCCAATACGCGTCATCTTAAAATCGGTAAGAGAAAATTTGCCTTTTAAAGTGTTATACCAAGGATCGTGGCATTCATCCAATATTGCCATATCTTCGTATTCCACAATTTCAAACCCAACTTTCTTTGCAGCATCGAGCGCTTGTATGTACGTACTCAACTTTGGGATAGAGTTACCCTCCTATTCATTCAAGCAATAATCAGTTTAGTTACCACATTCGCTGTAAAAAATCCAAATAAATTCATATACGTTTTCTTTTCTTTATGTCATTGTATTATAATCTCATTTTACCTCTATTCCATGGATAATCCGCCTATGGTCGGCGTCGTTATCGTCATATTTCGATGTGGTGACCCATTCGTAAGTAGCAAACAAACCACCTGGTTTCAGAGCACGAAATACCTCGCCATAAACCAGTTCAAGTTTTGGAGAGTGGACAGTGGCCTCGAGAGCATATGCGGTGTCGAATCGATTGTAAAGTTCGCGGGGAATATTAGTGAAATCGCCCTAAGTGAAAATGAAATGCGGTGAAGAGATGTCTTATTTTTCGATATTTCATGTTATCTATTCCCACATTTTCATAGCCATTGCTTTATATGGTTTGATGGAACCTGGTCACAGAAAAAATTAGTGGTTTGATACCTTTACAAAATCCGTCATACTTTCCAATCCAAACTTCTTTGAGTAAGTCTTACATCTTTCGATTTGGTAAGCATTATTGTTTATCCCAGTCACGTGCGCACCACTTAACCTGACAATTTCTCGCATAGGACCGCCTACTCCGCATCCAACATCCTGCAGAATGTACAAAAAAATTACATTGGTTACATTCTAACATCAATATAGACACGATATCACCACCCACACAAGAATTATAAATAAAATGGCAGTAACACGGTAAATATTTAGTACATGGCTGGTATCTGATTGGAATAAAAAGACAGATGTCATGTGATCATAAAGTATGTTTGTCTTACGAATGTTCTACTGTTCCGAGATAATCCTAACTTGAGAGATAGATATTGCTCATGCCGCTTTATTGATTGTTCGAAAGTATCGCCTTTGTATGAACGGGCAAAGTGGAAGGATTCGCCCCATCCTATATGACGAGAGGGATACTGTGTGTTAATAATGGGACTTGCATGCATGAATGGGTCAAACACCCAATGACGACATGGTTAAACCATCTGGGAAAGCGTTTTTCTTCGTCTTCCCCTTTTATCTTTACTTGCCATATTCATAAAAGTCGGTAACGATATCATAGAAAGCGTTGGTCATTATTTGTGCATGTTCTCGCCTGTTTTTGATGCTTTCTTCTCTGTTTGTTGCATCTTTTTTATCGGCCTTCCACATATCAGTATAAGTGTTTACAATTGTTTGATGGATGTTGGCATCTTTCCTGTGTATCTTCCTTACAAAGCCGCTAGGTTCGTAGATAATATCACCGTGGTGTTGTCTCATAAGGTCAGCATTGCCAGGCTCGTATGCTGTCGTCATTTTGATTTACTAAACTGTCGTTCTTGGAGGGGCCCAAAGAAATTTTTTTTTTCCCGATAGTCAGAAAAAATTATCACAACGTTGTCCAATGTTCAATGGCCCAACTAAAAAAAAAAGCGTAATCGCGCTTTATGTAAAATTCCTCCTTTTTTAATTTTGTGGAGATGTGTCACAAGGAAAGGGGATAACTAGGCCCCAAGGTGTGTTTAGTATGTTGAATGTGACTGGAACTGCAGGGGCATTCGGATTATCATAAATCAGCAGCGGGGTCGGGCGAAATGGGTTGCGGTCGAATAATTTGATTGCCAAGTAGTCACAATGGAGTAATTGCAGTCTCGAAATTCTAGCCGTACGATGGAATGATCGAAGAGTCGGAAAATCTTGTTTTGTGCGAGTAACGCTTATGCAGAAGAGTTTCATTGGTTTTGTTTACATTTTGCATAACCCAAAAAACCTCTTTATTTCCCTACATTTGCATTTCTAGCATTGTTGCAAGTGACACGCGCAGAATAGACTATTGTATGACAATCGGCAGATGGGATGATTGGAATTTTATCATAATATGTCGTAGATCGCTAATTTGCTGTCCGCGGAGACCCTATGTTACGTGGCTATGTGATTCTCATATGTTACGTGATAAACGTTAACTTATATATGCTTAAAAGATCATCGAATCTAATCTCTTTCGGCTGAAGCAGTTTCTGAAATTACTGTCGTCCCCTCCAGTTTCTTGGTGGACACAGGTTGCCATTCTCGTCCATTTCTTGGTATTTATGGAAACAATCAACAGGGGTATGACATCTTCATAAGTCAATGTGTGGCTGTTGGGGACAAAACGAATAACGTAAAAAGGCAAGCGGTTAGTATTTGTGATGGTCGTTTACACGAGAAACTCGGCACGACACTGACAAAAAAGAGCGAGGATTTCAATGCCTTGTCTTTATAGGGAGAAAAAAAAATCAAACTACCAGATGAAGCTTATCTGCATCCGACAAACTTATTCGGCATTTTGCGTTTTGTACTAGATTACAAGTTGTTTGCACCATGGAATACATCGTTTGTGGCATGTACAGAATCAAAAGATCCGAAGATGGAGTAATTTTCGATATTAAATCTAAAGTCCTTGCATATCATTCGACACTGTAATGACTTTCCGAATCACAAAACTTGATTCACATGAAATAATCACCTGTTTAGAACGTCGAATCGAAAAAAGTAGTTGGTAAGATAGATTCATTATATTAAGATATAAATGTGTGCCAAGGTATCTTAATCTATGCGCGCAACTGACTAAATTGAAATTATTGTTTATCACTAACGCTAACTAAAGTCTTATTTCATCTGCACGTGATTGATAATCTTAAACATGGTATTAGTATTACATATTTTGATATAACAACCCATCAACCAAAAATATTTTGATATAATAATCTATCAACCAAAAACATTACAAGTCAATCGGTAACGTAATCATCTAAATTACTCTATTTTTACCTCCAACTATTCCCCATATTCTTTTTACCCACGTGACATGCTGACACATCACGCCTTCAACCTGATCCGGTCATCCAAGAACTTCTCAAGCAACTGTGCCGTCACTTTGCCACCGTCATGACTCAATCTTTTCTTCTCGTCTTCACATCCACCGGATAATGCAGACGCTTTGAGAATGTATGATTGCCATCGACCTGTTTCAAAGTGCTCTTTTGGAATTTCTACACATGAACCTTGCCTCAACATGAGGTTTTTAAGGCCCATTTCCTCCATAAATTGAGGTCTAGAGACGTATATGAATGGCTTGGAATGACCTATACATTCCGAGCATGTGCCATAACCCTGTAATAATATAGACAAAGATTGATGAATTATATAAAGTAGCTTCTCCACAACTCGTCTAAAGACACTCTGATGTTTCTCCCTCGTGAACATACCAGTTTCCCCATTACAACCGAGGCTGCGTTAGTAAGATCAGGCAAGTATGCATCTAACGGACACTTGTAAAACCTGTCTGGTAAAGTCCTTCCGTCAGCACCCCATGCTCCGCAAACAATTGCAATCCATCCGTCGGGCAACGGCTCGCCCAGCTCTTTGTTATTGGCAACTTTTTGTCCACCAAATTGAACGAGAAGAATCTTGTGCGTTTCAAAAATTTCACGAGGAATATTTAGGTCACGCAAGACATCTTCACGAGGTCTCTTGCACTTTCGAACTACAAGTGGGACATCGATTACTCGTCGTAGATTAAGAGAAGTTGCAGATTTTTGACGAGAGCGGGTGGTTCTACGGGAGGAAAATATGGAAGATTTGTGGTCATGTATGACGACCCCGTTGGCTCCAACTTTCCTCGTTCTAACACCGTTCTTCTCTACTTTTCCCTTTCTATTGCTTGTTCTCTTCTCAACCAAAACCCGATCATTAGGATACAGTTGTGTACCTGGGAACGCAGGCAATGGTATATAGCCCGGCAATCTTATCAATAATTCCGAGTTTTTATAATCAGCTATGACTCGTTCAACAAGAGATCTTATTGTTATATCTAGTCCATCGCCCTCGCATAATCCATGGTAAACGGCATCAAACGTAAAGTTGGAAACTATGGATGAGGGAATGCCGGCGGCGGCGGCAGCAGCGCTGATCAATGAGAAATATAGGTTAGCGACGAAAAATCAAAAACAAAGCAAATGACGTAAAATCGCTCTCTTTTCATTCCCCGTATCCCCTTTTCTTACGAGTTTCCTTCCTCCCACCCCTTTCCATCCCATGTCGGGGAAACTCACCACGGTAGAAAAGGAGCATCACTCAAAACAATGTCTGCTTTAACTTCCTTCAACCAGTTAACCTCGATATCCAGCATCTCTTCCCGTTTTTCTAAGAATTCAGTCAAGTCGGTTATCGTTCTTTCTCGATCAACCGTATATGGTAACGGCTGCTGTACACCTGCATCTATTAGCGCATGACGGTATTGTGCCCCGAGATCTATGACAGCCTGAAAGATGAAGCGAGGAGCATTGGAAATTATGTAGGTAGTATGCGAACGTGAGAGGGAGAGGATTTCGGAAGCGATTTGAACTACGCGCGTTGCATGACCAAAGCCTGTAGAATTGGAGTGAAGTGACGAAAAGTAAGAGTTACAAGATGTTAGAACGTGATCAGTTATTAGTTTGCTAATTAGTGTAAAGGAGCAATTGCAGGAGGTTGTATAGTAAGCACTGACTGCGTAGTTATAAAAGAGGGGAATGTGATGTGACAACTCTAAACAATAGGTTAATTTCTTGTTACCATGTCCAGACACGTAATAGCAAAAGACGTAGTTCTTTTCCTCATTCCTTTTCGAGGGAGACATGATCTATTTTTTTTTGTTTAAACTATATATGAGCTTGTGTATACCGATACAGGTTAATTTCTATGGGCTTTTTTTGTCACTCCTTCTTTCCCACTAAACAAGACACATTAAGACTTTGACACCTCGGATGTAGCAAAGAGAGGGTACGGCGTTAGTCTATTTTATATATTCAAAATACCCATTATTTGCTTGCAGAACATAATGTATATTGTGTGACATTAATACAGTTGCTTGCAATTATTGTGAATGTCTTTATGGTTGAGGGATGGTCCAATAAAAAAGTTTACTATTTGTGTTGCTGGAGGAAAGGGTTATGTGAGGCTCAGCTATTAAAAGTGATAACAAATCGGTTATAATTATCTCTGAATCGCGGGCCTTCCTCTATAAATAAAACATAACAATACATGTGAGCACTTACCGTTACAACAGAGTTATTTATACCAATCCTATAGTAATAGTAATAGCAATAGTAACGTAACCTCGTTTGTATTCCTTAATTATATTAAGCAATTTGTTAACCATATATGTATCATTTATTACACAATAAATCATGTCATCTATATATGAATATTTGTGTTAGAATATGTCGATTATTTGCTTCATTTGGTTAGTCACAATTCTCGATACAGTAAAAACTCGGGCCACAAATTCAACAAATCAAGTCACTAATTCAACGTCGAGAGGCCACATAATAAAATCAGGCCGTAAATCAGGCCATACATTAAGTCAGAAAATAAATAAAAGACAGCAATTTCCAAGTTCAAAAATCAAATTACTAATTGTCAGTCTTATTGTGTTAAACCATTACTCATCAAAGAAATTCTTCCGACCGCAAACAGATATGGAAGTAAAAGGGATATCCATAAAGGTAGGAAGAGAAGCGACGGTCAAGAAATTTTTAGAACAAAGAGAATTTGCAACAAAAAATACATGCGCAATATACTTCGGCACTTAGTATTAGATGAATCGAAACATCAAACGTCACTGATAGGATATAACTGTATATATGAACGCTTGTGTATACCGATACAGGTTAATTTCTTTGTCACTCCTTCTTTCCCACTAAACAAGACACATTAAGACTTTGACACCTCAAAGAGAGGGTACGGCGTTAGTCTATTTTATATGGGGCAACTGCAACAAAACCAGACAAAATAAACATTTGATCATGTGAGCTAAAAGAGGCTAGTGTGGCTAAACATTCAACTAATTTAGCTGATGACATTTTGATGAGGCTTTGCAGCTCCAAGTCAATAGGCTGATTTTAGTTTTTAAACTTATACTATGCCAAAATGTGAACTTATTGAGATAAACTACCCATTTAATATAGAAATATGTTCATGTTAAAATATAAATATGGAATCAAAAAAAAAACTACAGCACAATCAGAAGCATTTTAAAAAAAGAACAAAAAGAAAAAATTGCACCCTACATTTTTAAACTAATAGAGATCAAGTCTTTGCAAGCATATTAGGACAAAAAACCTATAAAATTTATCAAGAAGAAAGAGTTTTTAAAAGAGTGCAAGAAAATTCTAATCAAGAATCAAGCAAGTAAAGAAAACTATCAGAATAACTTTTTACTTTTTTGTTTTAATTTTGTTAATGTTAATTACTTTTTTACCTTCGTATTCAATCAAGATCATTTTTTAGTTTCTTTAACTTCAATCTGAGCAGTTAATTGACCATTTTGTTGCTCTTTTAACTGTTTATTTTCCTCTTCCAGTTGCTTATTTTTTTTTCTTCTAAACATTTTATCATATCTGATATTCAATAATTCTTGTTTTTGTCTTTCACTTCACTTTTCAGACTTTTCTTGGAACTTAGCCACTTCTTCCCTTCAATTTCTAATGCTAAGGATTCTTTAGTAGTAGCTAACTTTTCACACAAAGTATTTATTTGTTGTTCATAAAAAATTAAAATTGCTTCTCCTCTTTTACTTTGTTGAGGTAAGGCTGGCAACTCCTTTACTTCTAACTCTTCTTTGTGTTCAATACAAAAACAGATATACTTACCAGTGACAGCATCAATATCTGACTTGCTCTTTAATCTCCTGCATCTCTCACATTTCGGTAGCTCATCATTTTTGAATTTTTCTTTGCAACTCTCACAAGCAAAATCATTTGCAAACCATCCAATTTTTTAAAGAAATTTTCCAAAACAGATTTAAAATTTAAATATTGAAAACTCTTTCCATTTTTGTAATATTGAGTTTTATCAATCCAGTTGAACTGGATTTTTTCACTACCTCAACAATATGATTAATACAATCCACAGTTGTTTTTCTGTAAAGTTTCAAATTGTTCACAAACATGTTCCCAAGAAGTTACAAAAAAGCAACAACAGATAATTCTTTTCTCTTTGCTGTTTGACAAGGCTGGGTTCAGTATCAACAATTTCTTGAATGAACCCAGTTAGACATGGTTCTTGTCTCTCAATCAAATCATACATCACATGTGTAAGCAACTTCAAAAGAACACAGTACAGAAATAACTTTTATTATGCAGGCACTGTACATTTAAATCTAGCTTTTCTCAGAAAAAATATACCCATGCAAGACACTAAATACTCAACTCATTGCCTTCTCATATCTTTCTCTTGTTCTTTCAAATTTACAACAGTAGGACAGTGAAGCCTAAGTACGACGTGATTTCCGCTTAGTGGTACGAAAATCTCCGATTCCTCATCTAAGTAACACAATCGTCGAGAATTGGCGCAGTGCGGATCAGCGCAGGAACTTGTTCACCCGATTTGGGCGAAATTCGCCCCAATATATCGAAAATTCTTGACAAGCACAAATTCGCCCATTTAGCCAAAAATCTTGACAGCCAGTGAAACAATAATTAGTTACAAATGCGAGTCGTAGTCGATAGCTAAAAATTATCTTCAAAAGCTCAAATCTTCGGATCATTCAGCAAGACGTTGCTATTAGGATGGTTCTCTTTTATTCTAATAAAAATCCGATTCAAATATAAACATTATTATTCCCTGATAAGAGATACTTAGTATCGTTGGCGAAGTGTAAACCGCTTTTCCCGCCGACGGTAAATAGAATTAATCCTTGCCAATTAATTCTATTTAGTACTTTTGATTCAGAGTTATTGTTTAATTATTGTTAACAGTTTAGATAAGATAATTCCCCGATTTGATAGGCTTTGAGATTAATCCCATCAAAGAAATCGCAGCAATTACTCGAGGTTAAACAATAATTCAGGAATGACGTATACAAGATCAATATTATATATTATAGATCGTGAGTATAAATCCTAGTTTAAAGGTCACTAATTGTATCAATATTTAGTTTTGAAGTAGGAAGAGCGAAAGCTTTCGTTAGAAAAGAACTAAGTTAGTACACCGCTGCTCTCCCAGGTGTAAGCTAGTCCGACAACAGCCACCATTGTCTTCTACTCGCTTAAAAAAGGGTGTTTTCAAACACTTTCTTTTTTTATACGATTGGACGCCACTATGTTATTGTAATGAGAGCAGCACAGTTGGTCCCGACTTGCAAATACATTAAATGGAGCAAGGTTTCTTCCCGTTGTGTCGTTTTGTACGCGTTTTCTGTGAAGAAACAATAAAAGGGTGTGTATTTTGTACAGTTTCCAATGTCGCAGGGACCACAGAGCTTTGGACGCAACATTTCTGGACGAAATTGTGTCCAAAGGTTTCCATTTTACCTCTTTGCTTGTACGCGTCATTTATCCGTACGTGATGTTGTCCAGCCAATAACGGTAATTTTTATCATGCTCTCTAACACCCAATCTAGATCTTTGAACGCTTCGTCAAAGCAGTTCAATATCACCTCTGCTGACCCGCGCGGACGCGTCGTTCGGATCGAGCTCGAGCGCATTGTTAAGATCCGCTAAAGCTGGTTGAGCATGCAATGCACCTTGCTGCGCATACGCAACGCGAAGCCATTATTTATATTGGGCTTGATTTTCAATGCTTTGTTAAAATCATCGCGCGGCATCGAGAATTCCGGCGCAGTACCTATGCCTATCTGCCATTATCAAACTGCGCCGCTTGAAAAAGTGGTGTTCGCCTAAAGACGGATTCGACCGAGTCACGATGACGGGACAGACCATCTCGGTTGTACTACATCACGAGGTGCTTTTAATTATGATTGTCCGATTAGAATGGGATAATATCGATGAATCTATTCTATCGAATTTATGTTCTGGATGAAAAAGCATTTAGAGGCTGTTATTGAAAAGGGGGCTTAACGATTGACCATTAAATTTTTATTTTTATAAATTTACATTATTCCTCATGTGCAGATAAAATTTTATGTAAAATGAATACAAATTGGTTGAGCAATAAAAAATTTAAAATTCTCATTGTTTTCCGCCACTACTGTAAGAGTGGAGGTAAGCGAAGGAAAAAAGCTGACACGAATCGCCGTTTTGCAAGCGAAGAATGATGTATTTGGACCGTTAATAAATAATTGATAGGGTTGTAGGTAATAATGTAGCATTATAATTAGCCGACAGTCGTCACAATCATTATTATACTTTACTTTTACTATATAAATATATGGTGTTATTGATACTTCCTGTCTAAAGACGTAATAATAGAGACGAAGCATTTGCGAGTGCTCTGCTTGTATATGAATCGCAAAAAAAAGGTAAGTGAATCGGATCCAAAGAGTATACTTTGGTCGCGTGGTCACATTGTTAATTTATGGCCAGTTATGGTAGTGATTTTCACGGTTAACATTTAGTAGACTTTTAATATCGACCTACATATTTTATTATTGACACTAAACTTTCCGTTCGACTGCAAAAAATATTCAACAGTAAAGAGGACACGCTCGAAATTTGCATCATATTCAGCCTTCATATTAAGGATAAAAAAAAAAACAAAAGGAAGAAGATAATTAAAGCGCAGTCGAGGGGAAAAAATAGAACCAAATAATACAAATGATACATATCGTGATATTTAAACACTGCACACAGCTGAAACGTGTGGCTTAGTATTCGTGTGTACATATATATATTCTCACCCTTCCTTATTTATCCATCTCTTCCCTAGTTAGCAGTTTCCGCTATCTAATCTCGTTAACTATTCAATACTTTTCACATCCTCCCAGCTCCACTACGCGATTCGGCATCCATGACTTCTGAGCTCCTCGACAACAATTTAACAACGACCAGATACAGAAAGACCAAGAATACCATCAACCATCTATGCCATTGATCAGCAAGACGTCGTTGCATTGGATTGTTCCGGTTATTATTGCCAACAACTTGGACATTCCGAATATTCTGGCCATTTGCATGCCTATTCACACCAATATTACCATTCCATGATGCGTCAGATGATTGCAACTGTCTGATGTTGTTCTGCCGACTGTGCAGTTGATGTTGTGTGAGAGCCTGTTTGGTCGTTTTGGATGATGGGGGAGACTTTGCTGAAGACGAAGAAGAGGAAGGATGAAGAGGGTAGAGAACTTCTACTGATATTGCTTCCGGTATGCAAAGTTCAGGAAAAACCTCTGGAAAAGGCAAGGGAAAAGACGAATGAGCGATAAGACAGTGTGAGTAACGGCGAAATGGAACGACGTGAAAGACAAGATTATATGCGAAAGTGTCAAACATTTAATTTTACCTTTGAACATTTTATTGGTTAGATTGTGTTGATGTGATCGTGAAGCATATATTATTTTATCTGCATCGGTGGTCTTGATACTGCCTGTGGTGGCCTCGTCACTGCACTGTCGTTATTTAAATAAAAGAATAATTAATAAAGAAACATATCGAGTATGCGACTTTCACTGTATATATTTACCATAAAACTAAGCAACCCATTTAATATCGTGGCAACGCTCCAACCAGGATTCCAGGAACTTGGATGGAAATCAGACATTGACAGACATAACCTTGCTTCTGGGAGAAATCTTCCTATAAGTAGAGTAAGAAGAAAAAACAAAGATTATTACGAATGTAAACAGAAAATTAATAAAGAGTGTATGTCGAGAGTGCAAAAAGTTTCGTACCAGATGGAGTCGTCATTCGAATGGAAGGTGGCTTGAACGGATACTCTGATGGGAAAACAATAACTCCTGCATAAAAAAAGAAAAGAAAATCGGTTAAAACGTGATAATGAATTGTGTTTAGGAGATTATGTTTAGTGGCATTGCACTTGCCGTGAAATTCTCCATTATGATAAGGCGTGTCGGGTGGGCCACGGATCACATAATGCCTGCCGCAATCAAAAGTATGGATGTATTGTTAGAAAGAACATAATTCGTAAGTGGTTCTTTTCCACTAAAGCATGAACAAGGGGTCTATGATACAATAGACCTGGTGTTATACTTTCATTCTACGTTATAAATCCTATTCTGCATGTCCTTCCTTATAAACACACTTTCTAACAATACAATTATTCCCAACAAGGTCTGTACATTCCTTTTCTCGCGCTCCCGTCTACATTCTTTCAATTCCATTATCTATAAATCTATTCAATTCTAACTCCTCCCTCAACCAAGTGTTGGGTTATTTATTCGGAATGGACTCTGTGATGATACTTAATAAGCTCGAGACTTACCATTCTAAAATATTATTTTCCAAAGGCTTTGCCAGTAGGTACGGCGGTGGATTCTAAAATAAACAACATTGACTAGTCGTTAGAACTATAATCTCCATTACGCTTTCGCACTTCTGTTCCATACCGTTATTCGACTTGATCTCGCCAACAAACCTTCTGAAATGCAGCATACTCTTTTGTAAGTCGTCTAGTAGCAGCTTTGGTAGCCATGTGAAGTAGTAAAGACCAGAGAGATGTAATAATACAATACTATTGTGTTGATTTCCAAAGTGGTAAATATTATTACACTATTGTTCACCACACAGGGTTGCTTTGTACGGAAAATGCTATCCAACCAGCGATAGCGAAAGTAACATAAACTTGCAAAAGTATTGTATTAGGAGAGAGAGTATATATATAATGTATATACAATATAAGAGGACGAGGGAGCGAAACGTAACTGTATGTAGGTACGAGAAGGGTAGAGAATGATGGGCGGGTTCGGGGCTGTATCTGGTATTGGGAGGGATACAGATTCACATGACTCTGATGTGGCAAAATGAAAAATGAAAAAAATTGATCGAGATGCATATTTATTCTTTAGGGTTTCCTATTCAATAGCCGCTGACTTGTGTACCAAAAGGCATTCTTCCCGTAAAAACGATCTTTCTGGCTTTCTTTGACCTTCATAGTCATCCCAAGTTGAATTCCGAGTCTGCTTCTATTACTATAAACAGTAATCTCAATATGAGAGAGATCAGCCATCAAGCAGATCATAATCACCTTTTTCTTTGTCTGTTTGGGCAACTTGGAATTCATTTTTAGCAATTGCTCGTCGCTTCAACAAACTCGATAAAAACCTGATTTGACAATGGTGCATTGCTCAACCGTTACGATGGTCCATTTACGGCAAACCACCCACTTAATTAGAAGAGGGCATTGTTATTAAAATTTCTTATCTCACCAGATAATTTATTTTTTAAATATCTCCACAACGCTACTCACTACTACTATCTTCCCCTCTACTTTCTACCTCTGATGACGTCTTTGCAACGTCATCAAAGGTGAGGTTTTTCACCACCATCTGCCGCGTATAAATATTTGACGATGGAGATGACTGGAAGGACTATTGGGTTGGAGAAGTTTGTGGCGGGGAAAAAGAATTAATAATTATAATGCACGTTTGTGTCCAGACTAACAAATGAAAATTCCTGTACAAGTATGCGCACTTTATCTTTTTCGTCCAGATAAATCCAACTCCAGTCACTCCAGTCACTCCAATCACTTCCCGTTTCGCTCTCGTTGTGGTCTTTACAACCAAAATGTTGAATAGGTTTATTTTTTTCCGTATTTTCCAACATTCTCTCCCAGATCTCCGTTCTCCACCCATGCATAATTCTACCCCGCGTATATGTATGTGTGGATGGTTGCTGTGCCGTTTCATCGTTTGAAGAGAATAATTGTGAAGAAAATCGCACGGGTGTTTGGGAACGCGTTTGGCTGAACATTTGAGAATTTATGGAAGTCAAATTATTGTGTAGAGGGGCTGCAGATGCGGAATTATTAGGAGATCTCCATCGATATGGTTGTGTGGGATGAACGGGCAAAGAAAGACACTGTACGCATTTTCACATAATGAGTAGGTTGACATACGTAAATTTATAGACCAGGATTCCGATATCTTTTAAACATAAATTTACCTGTTCATCATTCGAGATAGATTCCTCTTCTCTGGCCCTTATTTCCTCCCAACCGAGTTCAAATATCTCGGGCTGTTTATTTCGCAATAAAGTTTTAAATGACTTTCCCAGATTTTGTTGGTATTGGCTATAGTTTGGAGGCGGGTGAGATGATGAAGAAGATAAAGAGGGCGATGTAGGGAGGCATTCTGTGACTAGGTTTGTTATTTCTTGCTTTAGAGTTGGGCATGTTAATTGATTAGTGGAGGCACATATTAATATTTTTGTATCACTAATATTTAACCCAATTCTTACGTGCGTATCAGAATACTTTTCGTCGAGTCTTCCACTACGTCTTTTATCAACCGGTCGTTGTAGTGTCGCGACTGGTAGGAATGTGTCTAGGGTTATGGAATAATGGATGTTGGCACAAATATGTCTATTTGCACAAAGGGCATGATCAAAATGACATCTTTACCAGGGTGATCTGGGATTTTGTTTATGATTGTCTTCGATATTCTATGTAATAAGTAAGCGTTTAGAGATTATTACTAATTAATTTAATAATAATGGAATATGTTTATTCTATTTTAATCAACCTTGCGAATGGTACGTCCTCTAGCTCCTTGTTGGGGGATGAGAGGTCCTTGGGAAACTTGGTATTTGGTGTATGTTTCGACATGTTATCTACAGTATGTATGGTTATTTGACGCGCTTAATAATTGAGCACGCGTATATCGATATTGGTCGCGTATAATATTGACATTAAACGAGTCGCTACCAAGTCAGCGAGTTGTTTTCCTTGTTGTTTCTTGGTTATGGCTTGCTTTGCTTCAAGTTTAATTATTCAAGTCTCTTTCTGGCGCTTTCAATAAAATCAAATTATCTTATTAGCTTGATTTTTCAATAAACCAAGACAAGCAGGCTCTAATCTTTTGCTCGAAACCAGTATTTAAGCAAATTTTCGTCTGAGTTATTATTTTTCTTTCAATGTCCGTAAAAAAAAAGGTAATGCGACGTGATCTCCTCAACGACGGCTCTTCCGTCAAATATTCTATTAATAGAGTTCCAATTAGTTTCCAACCATTTCTTTAATACGTAGCTCGGATTAGGTGGATGTGAAATGTTGAGCGAGTTTTAACACAAGGTAAATGACTACAATAACACGCCTTTGCTTATGTCTTTGGAAACCGTCACTTTTTGCAAACACAATGGCCAACATAGCAAACTACCAGGATCGTGGTCTAGCTACTAATTCAAATCTCTTTAGTATATTAATATCGCCCAAGCGAACAGACTGTCCTCCAATTGAAACTATATTAGAGTGCTGTTCTCTTCGCGCCTTAAAACAAAACATGTTGTATTGGTCATTGGGCCCTCAGCTTCTTAATTTAATATAATAATAACCACATTACATTTTAACGATTCGCATTATCAACATATCACGGGACACATATCCCATAACATTCCTCAACTGGATACAAACCAGGGAAAATCTGTCCTTTTGACATCAATTCGTCACAATTGTTCCCAATGGATGGCATTCGGTTAGTACATAACCAACTAACTGAATCGTGCCTGTGTTGGAGCATAGAGCGAAAATGTGGAATCCTAATTGGGTCTAATAGACTCTTGTTATTAGAGATATGATATTGGCACCTTACTGTTTTCACGACAGAAAAAGGAAAAATATAGTTTTGAAAAAGCAAATTCTTATTTATAGAACAAAAAATTATATCCGTGTTCAAATGTTCATTTTAATTTATTCAACACGAGATGCTTCAAGCTTTACTCGAGTGTTATTCCGATGAGTCGGAAGGGAAAACAATTGTTTTTTTTTTTAAGAACGAAAAACAAACGAATATAACCAAATTTACGCTCACTTTCAGGAAGTGAGCTTCGAAAGTTAAATAATACACGTACAATCTTACTAATGCAAATTAATATTAGTGCTATTGCGCTTTTTTGCGATAATAATAATGATAAGAATAATAATGACGTGCGAATAATTTATGCTTTATACAAACTGAAAGCTATTTACAAGATCGCCTTTCTATTATTTCAGTAACCCATCATCCCAATATCCATTTCCCGCTTGCTGTTAAAAGACATTTCTCATCCAATAGTGGTGCCATCCATTCGCCTCGTTTTGCGCCCATCCATTTGAGTCATTTCGTCCCATTATGCCTCCCCCAAACCTTTACTCATTCATGTTGTCCATACGTCCCAAGTAAATCCTCAAATCCTCCCCCGTCTCCTGAAACAATGTCCACCTTTAATATTGGCTGCGCACCAGATGATGTGGTGGAATTCGGTTGAGTTGATGAAGAGGGTGTTGGAACAGAGCGAGATGAAGCTGAGGTGTTAGTATTGGAAGATAGAAGTGGTGATGCACTACTATTAGACAGGGGTATAGAATGCTGCGATGAAAATTCGAGCGGGGAGGAGGCTGGAGATTGTGAAATGGATGTGGGCGTGATTTTGGTATTTGAAAATGATGGGTTGGAGTAACGTGTGGACGCAGAAAGTGTGGGTGTGAAATTAAGCACATTATTGGCACTGTTGGCCCATTCCCCCTTTCCTTTCGACCCTAAACTCGCAGCACTTCCACCATTTGAATTTCGTCCTTTGAAAAACCTTCTTTTAGTATTCGTCGTACTTATCGTACTATGTGTGCTATGATTATCTGACGCCCCTGGTGTCGAAGCCCCGGACGAGTTGCTGTTGTGGGATGAAGGGAAACCCGGAAAGGAGGACAAGGAGGCGACAGAATTGGTGGCACTGTTTGTCATTCCGGAAGGGGTGACTAGAGTATCCGACTGGACATCCGCCGAAGAGCCAACATGAACAGAAGAAAGCGGTAACGACAGGGATGCTGGTATGGACGCGTGAGCCAGGGAGGCAATTGTTGTTGCAGATTGAGAATGAGCAATTGGATCTTGGTTCACAGAGGTGAGATTGGTGATGGCACTATTATTGCCGGTCGTAGTACTGTTGGTGGTATGAACACTATAAGCACTATGATTACTGCTAATATTACCATAGCCACTAACACTCCCACTAGATCCTGGATTATTGTTGTTATGCACATTGTTGCTTGCTGATTTACTTTTAAAGAAACCTTTCCTTGAAGATAGCTTCGCTACTGATCCACCATGCGTTGTATCACTAAGGCTTCCGCTTTGGAAATTTGCATCATGCGATGTAGTCTTTGTCATATGTACTGCAGCTAATTTTGTGGAAGTTGTACTATTTGTTGGAGTAGAGGGTAGGGCAGTAATTATGGAGTTATTTTGGAGCACGGTGTACGGAGGAGAGGCTTGAGAAGCGGACGGATTAGCCAGTTGGTTTGGAGATTGGTTTGCTGCCGTAACAGATGAACTAGGTGTTCTATTTCGAAACAATGCCCCAGCCCATTGTTTCGCCCACCCTATGCGTTGACGGACAGCCCTATTGATTGAGTTATGTTATGTTAGAACTCGGGGGTTTCGGTGGATGGTATCACATCGATATGAGTTACACTTGTAACGTTCTCTTCTATAGACGAAACACTTCTTCCTCACCTTTTAGCCATCGTAACATTAACCTTACCCGAATTCTTCATGAGGAAAAGCATCGCGCAATTGCTCAAAAACAGCAACACAAAAAACAAGTCCCAAGAGCATATGCGAATTAGGAGAAGGTAAATCGATAAAATAAATAGCACGCGACGACGTTGTCGGACGAAAGAAACCTCGCGCAACACTGAATAAAATTAAAAGACGAATAAATGAGGTTTCTTGTCTAGGACTATAGAAAGCGTGTTTGCAACATCCTTTTGGGGTCTCTCTCTCTCTCTCTCTCTCTCTCTCTCTCTCTCTCTCTCACACACACACACACACACAATAACTGTCCCCTTTCAAATTCCCATATCCCACATACCAGTTAGAGAGACTTTTGTATTAGGTTCGATTTCTGGATATGTCAATAGAGCGATAAAATGCAGGGGAATATTTAAAAGTCCCGGATCTTTATTTCCCTGATGTCCAACGTTATTCCGTCGGGCTAGTTTTTCTACAGCCGGTCCTTCGACCCATTGCATTAAGGAGTCTACGAGGCTTGTAAGAAAGGGCCAGTAGTCTTCTATCGAAGAAGTAATTGCGGTGTTGGCTGCTGAATCAGTAGGCGAGAGAGTCGAACTGCTTTTGCGCTTATCACGACGGGACTTGGCGAGTGATTTATCAACGATGGAATGCACATGGTTGTCACGGCCTTCGCCACTAGACGAGTTATCCTCATCGTATTCGCTCACGTCGCTATTCCGTGCTATATCTTCTGCTCCACCATGGCGCAAACCATTCTCCACGGGAGCAGAACTACGCTTTTGTGGAGACATATCAGATGACGAAGATGCAATGCCATCTTTTGTGGCTTCGGTAATATCGAAGGCTTCAACAGACGAGGCAACGTCTTCGTTGGAACCGGATGAATCTGAAGCATAGCCGTCCTCGTCGAAAACCAGGTTATCAAGCTAGAAGAGCAATGACGTAAGTATAACCGTAAATTCGTTGTAACGTATTGACTGTTAACTTTTGTTCCCTCACAGACTATATCCTGTGTTTAATCTGGATCTTATCCATACGTCTTCTCTAATGTTCTGTCCTCCCTCCCATCTCATTCTTACATACGTTGTTCTTCTCAATCCAAGCCCTGACTTGCTTCAATATCTTTTTCGACGTCTTCTTTCCCTCGATCTCGGAAACGACCTCATCATGAAGTATTGCAAATGATTCTTGAGCCTGACTATAGTCATCACTATGGGCGACTTATGATGACATAAGTGAGATAAGGGAAATAATTAATATATGTACGTTAGACAAATGGTTGTACCGCGAGTCGGAAAGGCATTAAAAAGCGATCAAGAGAGAGTTCCACTAGGCTTGTATAAGGATGACGAACAACGGCCGGGAGAGACATGTACTACATGTGTCATAAACTACCCAAAATGCTGGAATAGTTATTGTACAGTCGTTTCGTGGTTCTGTCGACACATTGGTTGTCAATTGAAATTATTAATGCGACCTCAGTGCTGTTACATTGTCCTCAATTTTTTGCTTTAGTAGCAAGCTGGTCATTTCCTTAAAATTCTATCCAATACTTTGTGCAATAACTATTTTCACATTCACCCGGGCTGAGACATCTTCGCACAGACAGACTATTCACGATCTCACACCTACCTCTGTAATGTGGAAACCGCCTTGTAACGATTCTATATTCAGGCACGTGTCTTCTCTTCCCATTTCCCTCAGCTTGGTTTTGTCCCCGTTGTTGGAGCCAGAAGTAAGGTGAGTCTTGGAGGGTTTTCCAGTTTGACCGCCCTAGACTACCTACTAAGCGTGGCGCCACGAACATCGGGAAGCGAATAAATGGCGCCTAGGAGGTGAGGGGGAGGGGAGGAGTCTGATGTGAGGCGTATGAAACAGAATGTATATAGAATGAGGATAAGAACTCCGAATAGCCAGAAAGCCTATTTTATCTAAATTGTAACCTCGTCTGTGTTTCTGATTCTGCGATTGCTCTGATTGAATTGGCCAAAGGTATGCAGTGTTCGGATATGATCGAACAGTACGTTTATATATATAGTCGGGATGTGTTGGAGGGGGGGATTGATCGATTAAGTTGAAAAAAGAGTCAAAAGGGGTTGGATGTGCGATAATATGTAATTTCACCATCAAATCTTTTTCTATGCTAATCGGGCTTTTCCCGTTTCATGTTTTCGGGTTTTGGTGTTAACCGTAACTGTTTTATTGATAGATTGATCAGTTGTGGGATGACACAATTTCTATAGGGCTGATTTGCTATTTTTGGGACGAAATGTGGCTTGATGAACCAATAAATGAATAGTTCCTACATAAAATCAGATGACTGTATTACCTTCATTACATGCATTTGTTCTGACGCATATGTAAAGATGTAGAATTCTGTACAAGAGTTCTGACGAGTTTCCAGTGAATGCTTGTGATCTATTTTTCGAAAACAAACCCTGTTATCCGAGTGAATGAGTTAGTTTTGGGTGGGGAAATCAGCTACTGGCGTTGTGAGCTCGTCAATTTGGGCTGAGCCATTTACAATATTACTAATACATATTTCGTGTCTAATAAAAAAAAAACGGGCAAATGTGATGATAAGTTGATATGCTTTGATATTAGTATTAGTATATTAATATTAATGGTTATTGACACATAACTCGTTTATATTCCAATTAGAGACTTGATGATATTTCTGATGTAGATACATTATGAGCTTATGGTAATTCAATACAATATTATTAGCATTTATTGACTCATCCAATTCCCACGAGTATTGACCAATGAAATAATAGTGGTTATTTATGGTTTATTGTTATTGAGAACTGTTCACTATAACTAGCAATTACGGTTATGAAAATAAACCGGAACAGCAAATAACAGAAAATGAATAAACTATTGGGAGATAAATAAATAAAGAGTAATTTAGAGGAACTTTGGCCAACCAGGAAAATTGGCAAGTTTTAATCGTTCGTAGCGCGCTAGGTCTTGCCACTGTTTTGACTATTAAAACAACTGTGGGTAATTTAGAAAAGAGCGAGATAGAAAATAATTAAATTTGTTTAGACTGAATTGATGAGCACAAATAAATTTACTCTATTATCGTTGATAGTGAACTGGTCCTAATCTCTTAAGACGTTTCAAAACACAAACGGGAAGAGATTACGTGCCGACATGTGAAAATGGTGACATTCAACGTCATGACCACTTCGTCTGGTTCGTTACTTATTACAGCAAAGCCCTTCATACTCGTGATTCGATACAGAATATTATGTAAAAATTTAATTGATTTTTTAAGTGGCGTCAAAATGTCATTTAATTGATTAGCTCTATCTTAGTGGCTTTACATTATGTGTTGCCGTTTTTTCCTATCTGTCTTTTCTTCTTCTTTTCTTTCTAGATTTAAAAGTTGCTCGCTGTGCCTCTAAAGGTTAAAGATAAATAATCGAATGTTAATAATAGACAACTGTCAAGAAATAATTGTTATACTTGAAAGTTCGGCGTTATTCAAATTTCAAACTTTGAGTGACATCCAGTCAACGTACGTGTACAAGAGCAGTTTCATGAAAGAGTTACGTACGCAAGCACCCAACGACTTTGAAATTTTATTGAATCATGTAAACGTCATAGATTTTCAGCGCCGCCCTAATATACGATTGGTGTATGCGAATCACATGACTGAAACATACTTGGCTGCTGCTCCTGTATTATAAGTCACGTTTGTTAGGCATCTCGAGATTGTCTAGCATATGTTAACGTTAGAATTTTGACCAATAAAATCGCACAATTTTAATCGACATAAATTTCAGCGTTTTTCTCAAAAATTTGATGCTATTACTATTGAATTTCTCTGTAATATAAATCATTTTATTCATAAAAAGGGTGCCTCCACTTAATTAATAAAGACAACCGACATGACATGATAAACATAACTTCTCTTATCATTGAGGATGAACCAGAAAAAAAGGTTCTGGATGAAGCAGCTGAACAGGGCTTGCTGATGCACAATGTAATCTTGGTTGGTATTACCAGTATGGACTGGAGTAGAAAAAGATGAACAAAAGGCAGCTAAACAGGGATATGCTAATGCAAAATGTAATCTTGGTTGGTGTTATATAAGTGGAACTGGAGTAGAAAAAGATGAAAAAAAGACAGTTGAGTGGTATCAAAAAAGGATATGCTCTATCTTGGTTGGTGGTTCAAAGACACGTTTATTAAGTATTCGTAGCCTCATTGCTTAGTTATAAAGTGTATAAAGTGCTTGTAAATTGTGTGTTTTGCGCTTTATGTGTTTATATATTATAACACAGATAATAGTTAAAACTTATGTCGCTTTCTGCTTCCAAAGCATTAACTTTTAGGCGTTTCAGCTAGCACACAATGCGTTTTTCAAAGCGTCTTGTATTACAATGTCATTAGATTTATCATACAAGCATGCTGGTATGTCAATCACTTAATTTTCGTTTTGACTTGACGTGGTCTTAATTATTATCATTTTTACAGCCCAACTATACTTCGAGTCAACTGAATAGACGTATCCTGGGTATCTCGAAAAAAAGCAACCACAGTACTGATTTTTTAACCAGTGTGCGTGTATGTGCATATCTGTATTGGGGAAATGAATTATTATACGCTGATTATGCATATACAGTAATAGCGCTCATACCAGAAGCAAAATTTATTTGAATATTTTCTTGACAGGTGATAATTGTCACATTCACGTGATTCCAAAACGCAAAGCCATTTCGATTTCTGTGGGGATGGCTATTTTATTATTATCATAATAATTTTAATTAATAGAAAATTTAGGATGAATTTTACGATGTTATAATCGGAATGTAAAATAATAAAATTAATATCAATTTTGTTTAACCCTCTGATATATCTACAAAGACAACGGAACGTATCAAAAAAATTCAAATTGCATGGAATTGCAAGTGTCTCATGAACTTATTTTGCTCGCGAGAAAAACTATTAAGATAAGTGTGCAGCAAATGTGACCAATTAACGATTTGTGTCCGCGATCCATCATATAGTCTGTGTTTGCATGTTTCATGCGCGTAGGCTCCATGTATATTGCATGTTTTATGCGCGTAGGCTCCATATAAGATTGCATGTTTTATGCGCGTCGGTTCCATATAAGATTGCATGTTTTATGCATGTTTTCGGTTCCGCCATTCAAATACCGACAACCGTAAACATATTTAAAAACATTATCCCCCAAACTCTTTTAACCATGCTCATTTGAAAATGCTAACACTACCACCACCTCCTCCTTGGTCTCAAGCTCAAAACAGAAAGAAGATCTTGAAAGACAGAAATAATACCTCCTCTCGCAGTTTACAAACCACTGCCTTATTTCAGACATCGGCTCCAGTATCAATTTCAAGAGATCCGGA